GCCTTGATTGGAAGTCGTTAGCCCCCCAATCCAAAATATGTGTCAAGGTAGTTAATAGAAGGGAATGGTTCGGAAAACGTTTGTTGTACTTGTTCAGTTTGTATGTATTTTGAGGTTGAATCAGTCATGATCGTGGACAACGTTGTTTTAAGGACGATAGAAATTGCAATATGACTAAACATAAACAGCCTCTATGAGACTATGAAATGAAATATTTCAATATAGGTTTATTGACAATTTTTTGTGTTTGAAGAAAAAGTCAAAATAATAATTTTCGCTCTGTTCATTCAGATGTGACCAGTTTGGCTAAAACAATAGTTAAACAAACGAAAGATTGTGCATGGTCACGCTTGGAAAAAAGTGCACAAAAACCAACAACAAAAGGCTTCCTAACCATTTCCCTCTACAAACTATGTTTAAATTCAGTGAAAACTTGTCAGATATTTGTCATTGTATTCTTACGTAAATATGGATACAGAACTGCTGCAAGTAACTTTATTACAACCATATACATAAAATGATTGCAAAATCAGTTTATTGGTGATGTTAGCATTATAAATGCGATATATGATATTCGATACAAGACACCAAAAGTTAATGCCTATAGAACATTAGTAGTTAACTGACTTTTTGGTACCCCCATTGACACCCTCTAAGAGGAAAAGTGAACTTTGACACTTGATATATAATAAAGCAGCTGTATATTTTGATTTACAGCCTTGGACCTCTTGTTGGTAAAGTTAAAGAATACCATGTGGAAACCATTGTTGACACTCTCTGCTCCAATATGCTGTCAGATAATGAACAACTAAGAGACATTTCAAGCATTGGTCTAAAGACTGTTATTGGTGAACTACCACCAGCTTCCAGCTCTCTAGCTGCTAACATTTGCCGGAGAATCACTGGGAGGCTTACTAATGCTATTGCAAAGAGTACTGATGTTTCAGTGCAACTGGAAGCTCTTGATATCCTAGGAGACCTTCTGAGCCGTTTTGGTGGACTGTTGGTGTCTTACCATCCATCAATACAGGCATCATTACTGCCACAGCTTAAAAGTCCRAGACTGGCTGTTAGAAAGAGAGCAATAATAGCCTTAGGTAAGACATCCCCACTTGATAATAATACCWTACTTTGATGTAAGATGGAGGATCACAGATTTTCAAAGATATGGTATTGTGTTGATATAATCAGCTGTCAATTAGAGATCTCTCTGAGAAATGGGAATTTACAGTATGCTGTGCCATTGTGTACTGGAATATTTTGTTTCATGATACAATGAAATAGTGTATACTTGTACTGTATGCTACCAGTACATTGTGTTACTAACAAAATGYTACTGGTAAAAAAGTAACCAGAAATAGCTGATCAAGGGGTATTCTCTCTGTATTGTCCTGTAAATTGGTGTACTGTATAGTATCATTGGGAAGTAAGGTCTAGTTTTGAGGTGTTGGCATAGTACCAGAGTACCAAAGAGTTTAAACATTTTATTCAAAATATGCAAAATCCAATGAATATGAATAAATTTGATTTAAATAATTACACTGAACATTAATGGGAACATCATTTCTCGAATGAATGTGATTGCTCTAAAAAATTTTTTTTCATGATCAAATGTTTTAGGTCACCTTGTCTTGAGTTCAAATAGCAATTTATTTGTTGAACTAATGGATCATTTGTTGAATGAACTGCAATTGAACACATCTCATTCAACCACAAGAACCTTTATTCAGTGTATTGGAGCTATTTGGTAGGTACTTTCTATAAGCCTTAGCTGATTACACTTGCCTTGATTTTGATTACTAGCCAATTACCTTTTTGTAATCAGTAGATATAAAAAATGTAGCCCAATCAATTGTAAGATAGCTAATGGACTGTGCAATAATGCCGTTATAATCATGTTTTTAACTTACCATTAGCACAACTAAAATCATCAAACTGTGGAATATTGACACCAATTTAACTTTAATTTTCAGATCATGTAACAACACAATGAAACAATATTAATATTAATTATACTTGATTATTAATTGACTTACATGTAAAAGACCTTTTTGAAACTAGTCTATTATTGAAAGCTGTTTTCTTTATTGGTTCAAAATCAAAGATGGTGGTTTTTGTAAGGTTTTTTAATGTGTACATGAATATTGCCAACTAAAACTATGCAAACCTGCAAGTGGATCCATGATTAATTCTTGTAGTGGACCAGCAGAAGTTCAAGCTAATCTAGGAAATGAATGGCCACCATCAAAGCAGCTTTTAATCCTCACATGTCACACTGTTAATGTTTATTGTTTTGTAGTCGTCAAGCAGGCCATAAAGTAGGGGAACACCTTGAAAGAATCATTCCATTCATTGTGGAGTTTTCACAAGTTCCTGATGATGATGAACTGCGAGAATATTGCATCCAGGTACAGTGGATAAAAWGATCAGTGATATTGCTATACATTCAAAAAAATGTATATTATATTCCTCTGYAGCAATTCAACAAAAGGGAAATYCCCYCACACAGTWWKTATTTAWWTWRAWWKRAAKRA